ATAGATCCAAGGTATTTAGGGTTGCATGTACACTTAGGAGTGTTAGAATGCTCAAAACCCATCACTTTCCTCCCATGCATGGTCTTTTAGGGCTAAAAAGACCATGTTCTTGCATATAGGCTTGCATGGGGTCTCCATGGTCATAAAGTTTGCACCTTTATGCCATGGAACCCTTCCTAGACCTCAGATCTTAGATGTACATCATTTGGGACGTCCCAATCCCAAGGGCTAAGGTTCTTGAACCAAATCCTTCATAAAATGCAAACAAATAGATCTAAGAGAAGAAAGATCAAGTTAGAGACTTGATTACCAGAAAATGCAGTAAATGGAGTGTAGCTCCTGGATCTACTTCTTCCTCTTTGAGCCTTCTATCTCCTTCTTCTTCCACAAGCTTCAAAAGGCACAATAACACTCAAAATCGCAAGAACTAGCTCAAAATCACTCAAGGTGGATTAGGGTTTCGAGGTTAGGGGTTGGAGGTGATAGAGGCCAGATATGATGTTTAAATAGGGTGAAAACCCTGAAGATTAGGGTTTCCTCCTGATGGACCTACTCGTCGAGTCCAGGCTTCGACTCGTCGAGTAGACCATTTAAACCCCGCGACCAAGCTGGCATCTACTCGACGAGTTAGGGCTACCAACTCGTCGAGTAGCTCTTACAAAATGAATATTTTAAATAGATTAAATGCGTATCAGGAACGGGGCGTTACAATTACATTTCAAGATCATTCCATTATCATACGCACTGTCATCGTAAGATTTTATCTGTATTATATTTGAAGTATATTATTTTAGTTTATTTTATTACTAATATGTTATTTTTTTTGTAGTGATCTGCTTAAGGATCAGGTGGATTATGATTACTTCTATCTAGAATTGTTTGCCTTTACTACATGGGAATGGAGGGAGCTTCGTAATATCCGGTTACCATCTTTTGTTTATCCTGTTTCGGATGAGACAATTATTAGTGGAGGTGTAGTTTATTTCTTATTGTCTAACTATGACATTTTGCGATTCGATGTATATTCGGAAGAATATTTAGTGATATATACACCTTCTATTATTAATGATTTCAACTCGTATGTATCGAGACTTATTAAGTTTGACGGAAAATTGAGATATTTTTCTATAAGTGAAGATCGTTTGTGGGCGATTTGAGTTTTCATTCAGAATCGGTGGGTTAACGTAGATGTTAGTAATTACAATGGCGGTCCAAATGAATGGTGAGATTATCGAAACAATCTCCTTTATTTCTTTAAAGGAAATACGATTGAGTATGTCGTTCCGGCACATCGTTCTCATGAAGTATTTTCATTTCGTTCAGATTTTGAGATAGTGACCATGCCAAGTAGAAATGTATAATTGTATGTTTTTTGAATTGCATTCGAAAACTGTTGTTTTTTCTAATGAAGTTATTTACTATTTTATATTAGTTTATGATTGAATACTTTGTTTTTTTTTAATTTATAGTTTTAATCTTAACTGATGTTTTATTTTGTTTTATGATATTAATTTTTTTTGTTACTTTAACTTTTTTGTATTGTGCTGGCCTTTTATAATTTTATATTTATTTTTTTATATGTTCTCTGCGTTTAAAGCGCATCATGTTAGTGATGTTATTCTGCCACTAAGTTGGATATAAATTTCGTATGTGATCCGTGTTACGGTTAGAAATCAGATTCCTTTTCTTAGGTTTTGCATAGCTTCCCAAGTGCCCGACTTTCTTTTTGGGTTCTGAAAGGCAGAATACATAGCTTCATCATTAGGCAGTGGCGGATCCTTTATAGAGGCATGGCCCCCCTGATTTTTGAACTTATAATACCTAGATTTTACATATAGGATTGGTTTTATACTTCCAGAATTTTTTGGCCCCCTCGTTCATTCTTTATAAACATAACAAGAAAATCAAAAGCTAATTAATAAATTAAGGAACTAGATCAGTTATTAACAAAAAGACCGGAAATCACTAAAAAAATCAAAATTAATCAAAGTAGGATACGACCAGTGGCGGACCCTCTTAGGGGCAGGGGAGGCCATGGCCCCCCTGCTTTTGAAGCTCATATTACCTGATTATATATAAACAAGTTATAAAATATTTACTAGAATGATCGCTGCTACATTTGTACGCCCTTTCGGTGTTCGTCGCATGTGTTTAAGGTATGCTTTCTATCTCTCTCACCGTCTTTGTCGGATGTCGGAGCCCGTTCGGTTTTCCCCAAGTCCCACTGCACTGTAGGTAGCCTCTTTTTGCCTCTTCTCTATTTTTCCCTTGCTTATTTAACACATAAAGAAGAGCATAAAATTGTGATTAAACCTAGTCCCTATAACTAATCCCTATATTTTGCAATGTGACTACTCCCTGTAAAGCTGTAAAGTTGTCAAGCTAACAAGCTGACATTGCTATTTTATTGGATTAAACTATTTATTTTTATATGTAAGTTTATTGTTATGTATAAATCAATTCTGGCATTTGAAATATTTGGCATTTGAAATATTTAAATGCTTATTACTTATTTGTTGATTTATTTGTAAGGTGTACCAAATGGAAGTAATTTAGTATGACTAAAAATTAACCGTAAATAACTACATAAACATTAAAATAATCCTTAAGATTTACATATATGTTTCTTATTCGTACGTACCAAATGGAAGTAATTTAGTATGACTAAAAATTTACTTATAAATGATCCCTTTCAGCAACGAGTCTCGTTTAGACTTTGATATGTCATAATTTTGAACCACTTAAAAGATTTTTTATTTTGAAGATTTGATTTCGGCCCCTCTAGTTCTAATGCTCGTGTTACGCCCTAGATACAACTTGATTTGGAAACTAAAAGTCTATAAAACCAAAAAACTATTCTAGTTTACAATTTTCTAACTCAATCTTTGAAATCTTTGAGAAACAACAAACCATAAACTAAAGAATACTGGTTCCAAAAAGAACAGTTCACCGGAAAAAAAACTGGTTACCCCGGAAACTAGAAAAATATGGAGGTTTTTGTCTCTCTAGTCTCCTCTCTGTCGTTCGTTGTCGTTCGTTGACTGTTGTTTTCCGTTTGCCAGTGCTTCCTGTTCACCTTTTGCTACTCCGACTAACGTTTTCTTGTGGGACTTGGACTTGTGTTTATCTCTGTTGGTTCTTATTTTGTCTCTCCACTCCAAAGGCCGCTCCTCAGAGTTGTAAGTTCTTCTTTTTATCTCTCTCTCTAGTTTCTTTCACTATAAAATGTGATAATAATATTTAATTGTTGTTGAAAGACTATGAAGAGCTCGGACTATGAAGAGCTTGAACAACCATCGTTAGTTGCAAATACGTAAGATTACATAGTAGGGATTGCACGGGAAAATTAGAGATTGCACAATAATAAAAAGAAAAAAAAATCAAAATCTTTTGCAATACGTCCGAAAAAATCAGGGGTTGCACATGTTATTGTGTGCCCTATACTAAAACCGCAAGTGCAAATACGACTAATGTTCATGTTAGGGAGGATTGATCTCAAATTAAACTTATTTATATGTGAAGTTTTAGTTCCGGCCCCTCCGGTTCTAACGTTTATGTTCCACCCCTGTCATTAGGGATAGAGTTCTAGTGAGGCATATATCAACCATAGGTTGCGGAACTTTCGAGATGCTTCCTTGCGAAATCCGTTGCAAAAATCATAAAAATTGTCAGTAACAATTCATTGGTAATTTATCACAGAGCTGTTCTGTCAAATTAATCATTAAAACTAGAATGCCAGAAATCTGTTATCAGTAGCAACATATAAGTTTGTCGGTAAACTGCTTATCCGTTGAAAATCTATCAAAAAAATAAATTGATCACGCGTTTTGTTCGATAGATTTGTTAGTTGGAATTGCCCTGTTGTATATATGTAGTTATGAAGGATGGTGGATATGTTACGTTGATACAGATGATGATAGTAACAAGATGTTAGCTATATAATTATTGACAATTTTAATGAAAATGATACACACGCATATGTAATCTAGCATCAACAAATCAAAAAGCTTTCTTCACATATCTCATCAATAAGTCAGTTCTGATCTAGCCTAGCAAAGTTAGAATTTTGAAGGATATGAGAGCGAAGAGTTTGATAAAAAACCGATCTTTCTTCATCAACCTCTTCTCTAATGAGATTTCCTCTACTTCCACACGTAGAGACCGAAACTTCAAGATCAAAAATGTCTGATCTACAAAGAGGGCAGTTCGAATGAGTTTGAAACCAAGTATCAATGCATGATACATGGAACACATGAGAGCAGTTCGGTATGGTTTTCACCCAGTCATCATCTTCATATTCACCCAAACAAATTGAACATTCAGTACTTTCATCGCAATGATTCACTTTATCTGATTCTATTTTTTTCTTAAACTGTGTTACGGGAATCATTTGCACAGCGAATGAGTCTAGCCCACGGCTTTGGAATTGTAGGGAAGGATCATTACCATCTAGATTTGTGTCACGTAGACGCCTCCTTTGAGCATTTCCTGAATATACGTGAAATGAACAGCGTCGTAGTATGTTAAAGTAACTAAAAATTAGAAATAGGGTTCCCATGGTTCCAACCATAGCAATCACTAATGGACTCCATGGTGTATGCTGTAAGCTAGGAGGCTCTACAGGACTTGAAGCCATAAATGCAGGTCGAATTCAAAGATGGGGTTCAAGAAATTATCTTTCGGTGGTACTATAAAGACATTGTTTTTCGACATGACTGCTTGGTATTTTGTTGAAGATGGATTAAGATGATGATGAAAACAAAGTGATAACCGACGCTAACAAGGTTGTGGTGATACTTCTTAGGGTCAAAGATTCTATTACTTCACTTCCTCGTTAATTTGTTATAATCTTGTTTTGGTTTCGATGTTTTTATTGTTTTTGTTGGACCATATTTGTTATTTAATATCATGTGTCTGATGATTGTAATTTTCATACGAGGGAAACATAAAACTCTAGATACGCCAAAAGTTAATCATATAAAAGTATAAATCACTGTGCAGTTATTCAATTCAAAGCCTAAACTTGCATATCATCATGCATGTACACCAACCATCTGTCAAAACCTATCAAACTCCTTTACGAAAAGAAGATCAAATTAAAGGAGAAAAAAAGGAAGATTAAAAGGTATCTTTTCATGAGATTATCGAAACCTTTGCCTCTTTCAACCAAACTAAAGATGCTTGCCATGGGACAACCAGCTGCTTTGCAGCATATCCTTCCTTTGATCAAAACAAAAAATTCTTCCACCATCACCAATTCACCACCACCACCTCCAACTGCCATCTGAGAAAAGCTCAGACAAAGCGACAGGTGGGATGCTGAAGGACTGCAGCGGTGAAAGGTTCTGGCAACCAGGAAGCGGGTTTGCTACAACTACAACCTACAAGCAATGTTTGCAAAAGCGGACCAGCTTCCATAACAGCTAGTAATAAGTTCCCTTTTTGTGGCAACGCCTTTCGTTTGATCATATTATCCATCACCAAGGTAGCATGATCGATTTCTGCAACACTTCCCAATGCTTGAAACCTGTTAGACAACGTCAGTTCATGTCGATCGATAGTCTTGTATGAAGGAAGTGTTTGTTTTGATGTTAGAGAACTCATGGGAGGAAACTGGATCGAAAAATGAATCCACAGGTGATGAGTTGTGATTGTATGCATCAGAAAGACTGTTGGATTCTGCAATACTTGAGTTGGGTTTTGCGGGTTTCATTAAACTGTTCTGATAATGTTGATGAACTTGATCGATCATGAAATAATAGGAGATCATGGTATTGTTTGTGGATGGCATGATCTTGATGAGTAGTTTCTGAATTTGATCTCTTGCTTCATCCCTTTCATGGAGAACAAGTTTTAGGAGCTGTATCAATTCTTTCAAGGAGTTGGTGTTTATGTTCATTTCTTCATTTGCTTTTGCTTTTACTGTTTCCAGTTCAAGTGATGTGTGATGAATCTTGAACTTAAGCTCATCAATGCTCTAAAATTTGCAAATGTTCCAAAGAATTAATTGATTAAAGCAATTAATCAAAAATGACATTTTATTATTAAATTTTCAGTGAATTACAACGGAAGGTGATAAAAATGCTGTCTTCATATCAATATAAACCTTTTCCAAAAAGAATTGAGGTTTGATTATATAATCAATAATAGTAAATAGAAATTATGACGATATATTACAAAATATCAGGAGATTGATTGATTATCAATAGTTTACCACAAGCATTAACAAAAAAAAATGCGTGTTTATTCCACACAGACAAAACAAAATTCAAGATCACATGGAGTAAAAGCCAGAAAAGAAACAGAAAAACCATAGTGTAATCTGAAATTCAAAACAACGCTTAGCAAGATGATAATTTGGGATCATTATCAACGACCCACGACAAAAATTTCCTCGTTTTACATATGGTTCTCACATCTTTCCAGGAACTTTGGAAGAAAATCTATTAAGAAGCCTTAATTTAATTAGACAAATAGTTAATCTATTAATTAGCTTTGAAGATCAAGAAATGCTAACAACTGGCATTTTGTTAAGAGTTCCAGATGAAAAAGTTTGAATTTGAGTTAAACTTGTAGCCAGTCGACTAGTCGTAATGCAACTAATGATCTTACTTTTTTGAATGGACCGAAAAAATTCCACTGCAAAAATGTGTTTTACAGTCGTTGAAGAAACGAAGAGCAAAATGAATGAATAATGACCAACCTCTTGATAACTCCTTAAGGATGCCATTTCTTCCATTTATCGGCTTTTCAGTTGAAAGCATAAGCAGGAAGGAGAGAGAGAGAGAGAGAGAGAGAGAGAGAGAGAGAGAGAGAGAGAGAGTAGTTGTCGAATCTTATAGAACAGAAAGATATCAACAAAAGGAGGAAATAAATATAAAATAAATTAAGGGGGAAATGGATAGCACTAGGGCAGTCGTGTCGTGTTTTTGTCTGACACGACATGACACGAAAACGTTTTATATAACACGAACACGACACGACACGATGTCGTGTTTTTTTTCATTAACACGAAAACGAACCACTTAAAACAC